ACCCCGCGGTGCAGGGGGTGCTCACGGGGGGTTAGAAACAAATCCCCCTGAACCCCTCCCGTGTCAAATGAAAACTGGCCTTCAGGAACAAGAGCACGAGAAGAAAATCTCCAGGCGCTGCCAATTTGAAAAGCAGGAGCCGAAATCTGGCCCGAAACAGAAAACTTGTTTAGAGTTAATTCCATTTTTAAAAGCCAGGAAGACCTGCCGGTCTTGCAGCGCGGCTCAAGAAGGTGACGTGGAAGCAACAGAAACCCTGTGGTTAAAAATCCCTGCTGTGGGCAGCTGAAAACCATCTGCAAAGGCTGAAAAAACACCTCTATATCGTTTTTAATCTTGCCTGCCCTGCCTGGCCCTGGCACATCCGAGAGGTGTTTTCCCTCGCTCAGTTATCATTCGCACCATAAACCCACCTCTCAGGACCAGAAGACGACAAGAAGGCTCACAGCAGCCCTAAAAGTCAGCAAATGTCGGCTCTGGGGAGCATCCAGGAGAGGATCAGACGTTAAGAGCATCTTTCTGCCGGGCCTTTTAAACGAGCCCTGGTTTATCTGCACGTCCAAAGATGGAGCAAAAACCGCTCTGCCCAACGTTAATGGTGTCAGAAGCACATCTCTGTCTTCTCCTGCAAATGTTGTCCATCCCTGGGGGTTTTGGAATGAGCCATTGCCTTCAGTCCAGGTTCACTACGGCCCTGAGCGCTCACAAAAGGCAGAAGAATATTTTCAAAATGAATTTTCAAGATGAAACCATGAATGGAAAGGAAGTCTTGCAGAAGGCGGCTGATTTTTAACCTTTTTATCTGGGAAATGTATTAAGTACTGCAGCTGGAACAGCAGCCGCGACCCTGCAGCCTCTGGTTCTGCTTCGTTCACTCCTTACCTACCTGGTTGTTCCTCCAAGCAAAGCAGAGGGCACATGCTCATCTAAATGAAAGGCCTGAAAAACATGTAGGAGCGAGATGTGGCCCATACGTCATCTGCAGACAACCTCTGCCCTCCGGCGCTGCGTCCCGCTGACTCCTCCCAGATGATTTTTGGATTAAATCCCTGCCCCGTCGAGCCAAAAACCCATAAAGGCAACGGCTCGGTAGAGGCTGAGCTGAGCGGATGAGACCATAAACCTGGAGGGACTCGAGGATTCCTCCACCGAACACCATCTCCTCGGGTCTCGAGAAACTCATCCTCGCTGCAAGCGTTGCAGGAGGCTCCAGCTCATCTTTCAGCCACCGGCTCCATCCTTGCCCGCCTTCCAGAGGATGGGTTGCTCAGCTCTGCAGCAGTACCTTCCAGCATTTCTGATGTTGCCTCAGCTCTTTGGGTTTAATTAGATCAAAAACCAGCCGAGATGGCAATACTGGGTGAGCTGTTTCAGGGGAACCAGCCAGCGTTTTGGGGGAATGGTTCCCCCTTTCCAGCATCACCTCCCTGCTCCACAGCAGGACCATTCGGCAGCCGCATCCCCGCTTCCTGCAGTGCAGAGAGCACCGAGCATGAGCATGAGCCCACCGTCTCCATGTCTTGCCTCTTGATACCTTCTGTATATTTTCATACAAAGCTACATCCATAGTGGTTTTGCTCTTTTGGGGCAAATCCAAGAAAAGACTTGCCAGCGCCCAGAGGAACTGCAGGAGACCGGGGAGTTACGGGGTACGGAGGGTCAAGGGTGATTGCTGGAGATGTAGGAAAGCACGGGTGAAATCCCACCAAAGGCCAGAGCGTGAAATCACAAGCTACGGAGGTCTACGAACATCACCCCGATCCCCTTGCACATGTCACTGTACAATTTTAATGATGGGAAACAGAGATAAAACTGGGGCAGGAATCCCCTCTTCCCAGAGGAGCATAAATCAACACATGTGAAGATCTCTGATGCTGCTGTAATTAGCACCATGGCAAAGCCCATGCAGTAATTAACTTTCTCCCTTCCAAGTTAAGATTTAATAACATGCAGTAAAATAAGACCTGGGGCGATGAAACAAGCAGGGAAAAAAAACATCAAATTAGACACTTGTGACTCGGTAAGGAATTAATTATACCCTGGTCTAATAATAATACTACTACATTGCTTTTAATCTGCCCTTGTGCTCCAAGTGAGGGAGGGTGAGCTGGGAAAAGGTGCTTGAAATGTCCCGCACTGACTCTGAGGACTGGGTTTCTGCCAACCAGAGGCTCAACCACGCTGGGATGGGGCTGAGCTACTGCATCTGGCAGAGCTGGAAGAAGAAAATCTAGGACAAAAAGTATCCTGGGCTGCCGGAGAGCCGTCTCAAACCTCCCATCCTAGCAGGGAACAGCTCTTCCCATGGGGAATCGGTGCTGCCAGCAGCCCCGAGCATCTCTCAGGGCAACTCCCAGGGTGTGCCAGGGGTGTGGGGACCATAAGAGAGGGAGACTGGGGGCTGGACGAGAGGCTGCGCCCTGCCGAAGGGGGAATAACCTGGCTCCATGGCAAGACTCAGTGACGGTGCTGGTCCCCAGGGGTCTCTTGGGAATGCAAAGAGGTCCTCCCTCCCCTTGGCAGAGTCACTGCAGCACCTAACCCAAAGCAGTAGGTTCAGACATCAAGATAGAGATGCATGAGTGGAGCGTGACCTGGGAGAACGTGGTGCTGCAGCATCCTCCTTCACAGGACCCCAGTGGGGCACCCAAACCCCTCCCAGCTGCAGGCAAGGGCCAGGAGGAGCAGGACCCTCTGGGGACTCACTGTAAGACGAACAAATCAATGCTAGAAAGGGAACAAGGAAGTTTGGAGGAGTTAGAGATTATTTTGAGAGCGTATGCATGAACTGATCCAAGCCTGACACACAGACAGCCCCGAACCCAGTCAGGCATCACCCAGCAGAGCTGAAGGCAGCGGTGTCTTCCTCGGCAGTGGTTAAAGAGAGATGGGGCAATGCCTGGGAAGGTCACTTGGAGCTGAGTGACCACCTGGAGCAAGCAAGCCCCCAGGAAGGTGAGCGACCGCTGCACCCAAGGCCGTGCCATGGGGAACAGAGGACACCACTCTTCCATCACCACCTCAGAAGTGAGGAGAGCCCAACTGCAAATGTGGGTGGAGGTGGTGCTTCTTGGTGGAGCCCAACCGCAAGCGCGCTTGCGGTTGGGCTCCACCAAGAAGCACCACCTCCACCCTTGGCGGGCCCAGCGCCCAGGGTCACAATTCCCCTTCCACAAATGGTCCCCAACCTTCACACGTCGCCAGCAGAGGAGGAGGCTAAGGCCAGTGTGCACATCCAACACCTTGAGCAGCAACATAAGGTCATTACCTTGTCGTCTTGGGGAGGTCAGCAAGTCATGGGAGGATCCGACCAGATCTGACGTTACATGCCGGGATCCAACCTGGACATCCCCTTCTCCATCAGTACATTCCTACCTTGGCTCCTCACAGAGGAGGCGAGCTCCTGGAGGAGTCCTGTGCAGCTGGGCAGAGGGACGACACCTCCTCAGCAGCCCTGATCTTTGCCTATCCCCAGTTCTTGGTGGAAAAAGAGAGGCTGGAGATGCCCTGCCAGCCACTGAATCTCCCTGGTAAAGCCAAAGGGATGCTTGCCATGCAGACAGGACACAGGCCCTGTCTCAGAGGTACATTTGAGATCAAGATTGATTTATTTTATTTTCTCCACTGCTCTGGCACAGAGGCATTCAGTGTCCCTGCACATTCCTGTCTCGCCCTGGCAGCTCAACCACTCGAAGCCAAGGGGAACACATGAGGACTGTGAAACACCCATCCTTTGAAGAGCACCTGAAGCCTGCATGGCACTTTTTGAGGATGCTCTTCCCAGAGAAAAGAGTTCCAGGTCACCCCGTGTGACAGACTCAGGGATTCGGACCAGCTGGGACAGAGACCAACAGACTCAGGTCACAACAGACCTTTCTGTGCTCTTCTCAGACCACAGAGCTTCCTAAACATGGGCATTTTAACAAGGGGCAAAATCCAGCCCTGAAATCATTACCTGCCACAGGTAGTCACAGTGAGGTACACCAGAGCCAGACAGGTAGGACATATTTTATAGCCTTATCACATCTGCCCCAAGCATTTTGCTTTTTGCTCCAAGCCCTCCTGGAATTGACTCCACCTGATATTATCTGCCTCTCGCTACAGCTTGACATAAGTCAAAGAAATAAATTACTCAATTACTAGAAAATCCAGTAAGACTGAATGCAGAATTAGTGTCGTTAAAGCACAGAGCAAGTACTGGCAGCATCAGCATTTTTGCTTCTTGGTCTCTTTCCTTGCTCTGCCTTTGGCAGCACGCAGGCACTGCGTGTCCTCGCACAGGGACTCTGCGCAGGGGGTCCCGTATGGTCACTTGTGTCACTTGGTGAGGCCCTGGAAGTTGGGCTCTGTACACGGGGGCAGCGCTGCCTGCCGGCTCAGCAGCTTATCCAGGACGTTTATTTCAGCATCTCGTTTCTCAATGTCCTCAAACGGAGTCCAGGACATGTCATGCTGGAGCTTATAGGCACCAAGAAATTCATGGGGACTGGTCCCCCATTCCTGGAAGAGAAAGGAGAGATTCACATCATTGCTAGTTTCCCTTGGAGCTGGGCTGTGCTGTCCCTCAGCCCAACCTCTGCCCGTGCTGGATAGCCCTACCACCTTTGAAGCAGTCCCAGCTACGTGACCATCCCGTTTTCTAACCTAAAAATAGGCTCAACTACCCTAAGACCAGGTCAAGCTACAGTGCTGCTGACGCAGGGAGGCTTGGGGATACAAGATCTCCCTGACCTGCACAGAGCTCCCCTACATGTTCAGCGCTTTGCTCTGAAGCCTTCACCCTGCACGTAAGAAAAAAGGTGGCCTGGAAGGAGGATACCTCCAAGACCAGCCCTACCAAGCTGCAGACAAACTCACTTCCCTGGACTGAAGCCCTTGAGAAGACCGTACTGCCAGACAGCCACACCGGACAGGGAAGGCCCAGGGCATGTTTGCAGTTCTTTACTTCCAGAGAAAGAACTGCAGGGACCGAAAGGCAGAATTCAGATCCACGCACCAAAGGTCTTCTTGCCCACCATCCACCAAGAGCTAAGAGAACTTCATAATATGGCTCTTACACCAGCAGAGTAACTCAGACCAAGGACAAATGCCAGCTGAGCAGGAGCCAACAAATGCCTCAAGATGGTGCTTTTGTCTGAGGCCCAGAAGTGCCCAAGTACCAGAAACGTGTTTTTTTCCCCCTCCCTGCTTCCTCAGGGGCTGTTAGGACCCACCTTGGGAGACAGGATGGAGAAGTATCGCTGGCCACTCTCCCGCCTGTACATGTAGTAGATGTTTCCTGGCTTCTTCACGAGGTTGCAGGCCACGTGGTGCAGATCAGCATCTCTGTTAGCTTCATCCAAGACCTAAAAAACAAATTTAAAATTTCCACACTTGAAATAAAACGACAGTGTGCTATTGCCTCTCAGCCAGAGCCCGAAATACACCACTTGACACACCACTCGCGAGGCCTCATCCTCCCTGGCGCATGTCTGGCTTCACGTGGCACATCACTTGCCCCAGGAAGGAGATGCTTTCCAAAGAGATAAAGTTTTCTCCAAGTTTACCCTGTCAGCTGGACCTCAGAGCTCCTGCACCCCTCCACAGAGGTGGAGATACCTTCAAGAATCAAGGACCTCTTCACCACAGCCCCAGGTTCACCTCTGTGCCTGACCACATGCTGGACTCGTTCCTCTTCTCTGTATACATCTGCTGGACCCTGGGGGCTTCCCTGCTGCGGTCCCCGAGGGAAGGGGCAGCAAACAACGGGGAATTCATCTCCCCAGCTCCACCAGCTGACTGCTCCACAGCTCCGGCTCCACCAGTTAACGATTATATGACATAGTGGCCTTGATGGCAGCGGGCCAGTCGCAGTGACTGGCAGATCCTTTCCCGCTCAGGCTCTGAGATTTCACCCCCGAGGGTGAAGTCTGAATTGAAGAGGACAGCCGAGCCCCGCTGGGCTTGCTGACGGAGCCACCTGCTCCAGCAAATGAGCTGGGACAAGCTGGAAAGCCAAGCCCATCGTCAGGCAACAGCTCATCTTCTCCCAGGGCTCAGATCCAGCCAGGGCCACGTCGTCACCCCCCTGCACCAAGTCCTCCCGGGAGCACAGCGCACACGCTACGGTGACAGGAGTTGCCTGTCCCAAAGCCAGAGTCATCTCTCTGTCCTTCCTGACACCTGAGCTGCTTTTGACCAGCCGCCCTCGCTCCTCTGCCTTAACAGAAGTCCTCCCCGATGCGCAGAGGACTCAGGGAAAACACCAAAAACATCCTTCCCTGTCCCCAGCTGATACCAGACAATAAACCCTCTTTATTTTCCCACTGAATCTTCTCTACTTGGCTTCTGGCCATGATTCATGTCCAGGCCACAGCTCTTCCCGAATGTCTGGCAGTTAAGGCAGATGCTAATCTCCCTCCCCTCACAAGCACAAGGCAATGAGCCTTCTGCCCAGCTCGCGGACGCATCCTCACCTTCCGAGCCTGCTCCTGCAAGTACCGGATCTGCTCGGCGATGGCGGTCAATTTATTGCAGGCGTTTGCTCGGATGAAATCATCCGCCTGCGAGGAAGAACGAGGTTTGGTCAGGACGGGGACGAGCCACGGCCCTTCGGACCTTGCCATGCTGGGTGTGCGCTGGAGAAGCGGCAGTCGTGGCCTCACTCGAGGTTTTAAAGGGGCTGTGGGTGGTGCAGGAGCTGCCCTGCATGCGGCTGGGGGGCAGCCGTGGCAGCCCCCGGGCGGTGGGGTGACAGCCGTGGAGCAGGGACCAGGCACTGGGGGGGTGCCTGGACATGCTGGGTGGCAGTGGAAGGGGGCAGTAGAACGTACTGGGAGGCACTGGGGTGGACCGAGATGTAGTGGGATGCACTGGGAGGAGGCAGTAGGGCTTACAGGGAAGCATTTAGGTGGACTGGGTGGGCTGAGAAGCTCTGGGGGACATACTGGACTAGGACGTAGTACTGGAAGGCAGAAGGATGTACTAGGAGTCACTGGGGGGATAGCAGAACATACTGGGAGGCGCTGGGATGGACTGGGAGGCACTAGGAGGGGCAGTAGGCCACGTCAGGAGGAACTGGGGTGGACTGAGAAGCACCGCGATGGACTGGGAGTCGCTGAAGGGAGAATAAGACATATCAGGAGGTGGGCGCTGGGATGGACTGGGAGAGCGGGCGGTAGGACGCACCTGAACACACTGGGGTGGACTAAAGGCAGCGGGACGTACTGGGAGGCAGTAGGCCATACTGGGATGGATTGGGAGCCTAGTGGGATGTTCTGGGAGTCACTGGCGGGCAGCAAGACGCAGCGGGAGGCACCGAGGTGCGACGGGAGGTGCTGGAGGCACAAACAGCGTGGCCCACTGGGGAACACGGGAAGGTACTGGGGCGCACTGGGGCATACTGGGAGGGGACAGTGGGAT